TGGAACCTGGAGTATTCTGGATGGACATGCTGAATTGCTTTCTTTTTCTCTTTCTGAATTACTTTTTTTATCTTTTTAAGATTTTATTTATTTATTTGACAGAGAGAGACAGTGAGAGAGGGAACACAGGCAGGGGGAGCAGGAGAGGGAGAAGCAGGCTCCCCGCTGAGCAGGGAGCCCGATGCAGGGGCACAATCCCAGGACTCTGGGATCATGACCTGAGCCAAAGGCAGACGCTTAACAACTGAGCCACCCAGGCGCCCCCCCTTTCTGAATTACTCTTAATAGACTGTTGTGAATTGAGTTTGCCAGTGTTTTATTTAGAATATTTGTATCAGAATTAAATAGGAACTATTTTTGAACAATATTTTGTTACTAAGTTTGTAACAGTTCACAAATTTTTTTTTATGGTATGGGATGTTTAAATTACATGGGTTGTTGGGGCACCTCAGTGGCTCAATCGGTTAAATGTATGCTTTCAGCTCAGGTCACGATCTCTGGGTCCTGGGATTGAGTCCCGCATCAGGCTCCCTTCTCAGTGGGGAGTCTGCTTCTTCCTCTGCCCCTCCCCCCATGTGTGTGCGCTTGCTCGCTCTCTCAAATAAATAAAATCTTTTAATAAAAAAATAAATAAATTACATGGGTTGTTACTTAATGTTGGCTAGACTTTTAATCCTGAAAATATCTGAAATGGATTTTTTCCATGGTAGATCTTCAAGATCTTCAATCGATTTTTAAATATTTTTAAATACTATTTCTGGTTATTGGTCTTTGCACTGATTTTCTACCTTTTTCTAAGTCTATTTTGGTAGTTCCTTAATGCTTTGACCCAAAGCATTTGTTTCTTTTGGCATTTCATACAATATTCTCTTTAGGAAAACAAAATACATTTCGTGGAGATGTGAGTGTATCTCCTGTGTTTTCATAGGTACACGTGACTGTGTCTTAAAGTATCCTTGTATTTATAGTTGTATTTTCTTTAAGTGATTAGCTTTTCTGGTATTTGGTGCCAGAAAAGATAAATGGATTATTTCTCTTCTTGAAGAATCATCTTTGCTCATTTCATTCTTGTAGCTGTCAGTGTTACCTTATCTGCTGTGAGTTAAGCCAAACCACCTTTTATTTTGCTTATATATTTTTTAAAAGATTTTTTATTTATTCATTTGAGAGAGAGAGAGCATGGGCAGGGGGAGAGGCAGAGGGAGGGAGAGAAGCAGACTCCCCGCTGAGCAGGGAGCCCTCCATGGGGCTGGATTCCAGGACCCTGAGATCATGACCTGAGCCCAAGGTAGACGCCTAAGTGACTGAGCCACCCAGGTGTCCCTATTTTGCACATATATTTTTTACAGTGTATTTGATATTTGCCCATTATTTTGTTTTCAAATTTTCTTGATCTTGCAAATAACCTGTGACAGGTTTTGTTTTCAAATCAGTTATGTCGGTCATTAGTAAGAAATTCAGCATATTCATATGCCATCTTACAGTTTAGGATTTTTGTTTTACAGTTTTGTTTACTGTGTATCCTAGTATAACATCATTAATATTTTGTGTGTTCTACTTTATTATAGTTTTTGTCATACATTTGTTTCTTTACTTTTTGCACTGCTGGTCAAATTTATTTTCTTTTTTATCTAATTTGATAGATTGCTGCTTTCTAGTTTTGATTATGAAGACATTACTGTTATAATAGAGTCTGTATTTCTCTGTTAACGTATCTTTGTTGACTAGTGTTTTATCATCAGGATCTTTTGATTGTCCATTTCTTTTTCACCCAAGCTAGAAAAGAAGTCAGAATGATCAGAATGATAAACTTCCAAACAAATGCCTTGATTTATGCTCTGGTATTTCAGAATCTTTTGTTTTAGTCTGTTAATTTTATGAACAGCATATCATCAATTTTATGCCAAAAAGTTAGCGTGTATTATAAGTTCCAAAAAGTATTTTTTTTTGTCAGTTCATTGAGGTAAGCTGCATATAACTTAAGTGTCAAGCTAGATGAATTTTTATTTGTGTGTGTATATGCGTGCACACATGCTCACACACACACAGGCACCCCGCCCCCTTGTAATGACCACCCAGTATCCCAAAAGGTCTCTGGTACTTCAAGTTCATCTTACTCTGAATCTGTTATCATTGATTAGCTTTGCTTGTATGTCTGGCTTCCACTCAGTATAGTATATGTGAGATTCATCTATTTTGCTGAGTGTATCAGTTTTTCTTTTTTTTTTTTTTTTAAAGATTTTATTTATTTATTTGACAGAGAGAGACACAGCAAGAGACAGAACACAAGCAGGGAGGAGTAGGAGAGGGAGAAGCAGGCTCCCCACTGAGCAGGGAGCCCGATGCGGGGCTCGATCCCAGGACCCCGGGATCATGACCTGAGCTGAAGGCAGACACTTAACCGACTGAGCCACCCAGGTGCCCTAGAAATTCCCTGTTATTTTCCCAAAGTATATATACTTACTTACACTCCCACTGGCAAGGTATGAATGTTCCAGTTGCTTCATATTTTGGCCACTATCTTTATTTGGTATTTTCTGACTTTTTCATTTTAGATATCCGAGTGTGTATGTCATTGTGGTTATCATGTGAGTTAGGATGGGGGCGGTGGTAGATACTAGGTAGTGGCATGAAGGAGCTTCTCAATTTCAGGTAATGTTTTATTTCTTGATCTGAATGCTGGTTTTATGGGTGTGTTCACTGTGAAAATACATTGAGCCATTTCTTTGCCAAAGTATACTTGTGTGTTGTTTTTGTATATATTTTTACTTCAACAAAAATTACAAAAATCACAGAGTTGACAATGACAAATTGTTTATCTGAAGAAGTCTCAAGGATATCATTAAGCTAAACCCAGGAGTCAAAATAAGATTAATTTTTTTTCATACATGAAGGTCAGAATTCTTCTCCATGTTTCCTTCCTTCATTTTTTTTTTTTTTTTTTTTAGAGAGAGAGTGCGCATGTGCGAGCAGGGGAGGGGCAGAGGGAAAGGGAGAAAGAGAATCTCCAGCCGACTCCCGGTTCAGTGTGGAGCCTGATGCGGGCCTTGATCCCATGACCCTGAGATCATGACATGAGTCAAAATCAAGAGTCAGACACTTAACCAGCTGAGCCACCCAGGCGCCCCTAAGTCGAACACATTCTATATTTCACCAATAAGTGTAATATTTGCCATAGGTATATGTTAAAATCCATTATCACACTGAGGAAATTCCTTTCTAGTTTGCCAAGAGTTTTTTGTTTGTTTGTTTTATCATGCTTTTGTGTATATAATCAGGTGATCTTATCATCATCTCTCAATTTTTAAAACTATTTATTATTATTTTTATTTCCACCTTCAGGCAGTTCCTTCATAGCCTGTTCTTTCTCTGTTATTCAGTTAAAACATGGTATTTCCTCACCTTACATTCTTGATTATTTTCAGTCTCTTACTTCTCTGAGAGCCTTCTGATTCATTGTTGGTGACGTCAGACACTACCAAATTATTAATGTTTCTCAAATCCTTATTTTCATTCTAGACCTACAGTATTATGTTTCACATTTAAGATATATCTTATTAAAATACAGTATCTATTTTTTCCTTGCTTATTTTGTGATACTTGTGTTTATACAGATGTTTGTACATATACCCTGAGGAAACTTTCTGCCAATAATTGGTGACTGTGTTCTATCACTCTCTTTCCTTTTATCAATTCCCTCTTTGCTTTACAGTTTTTCCTATAGTAGTTTATGTAAATCGTGGTTTTTGTCCATTAGCTTTCCCTTTACTTTTTTGACAGAGTTGCTTCTATAAATAAAAACCTGGTCACATAATTTTAATATACACTCAGATCTCTTTGGCTCCCCTTTCTTTGAAACAGTGAGCCCTAAAGTAGAGGCAAGCACTCTAGATGATATCCCAAATAATCCCTTTGGTATCTTCTATATGTTCTACAGGTATTTCAAGTGTAACAGTTCCAAAATCTTCCCTTCTCATTTTCTACACGTTCTAGTTGTCTCTAAATTGAAGACTTAGAACCTAGAATATGTATTCCAGTGAAGTAAAATATTAAGCTGTCTCTTTACTTTTTAAAATTGAGGAAAAAAATTAAAATTTGTCACAAAATATATTGATAGTTTATTTCTATAATTCATAAATATAAACTTCATTAGTACTCAAAAATATTCTTTAAGGTTGAAAGTGATCACATACTTTGGAGATTTGGTCTAAAATTACTCTCTAATCCATGACTTTCTTTCTTCATGGCCCTTTCTGTCATCACAGCTCCAGGCTGTATTCTCAGTGTTTTCTGTACTGTTTGCCCTCTGTTCATTTCCCAGATGGTGTTGGAGGTGCCCTGCTTTTGCTTGTACCATGGCACCGTGTTCATGAAGAGCACAGTATTACTATTTCTCAATCAGCTGTTCTTCATTGAAGCTCAAAATAGAAATAATTTTGTTCCTCATTTATTTTAAAGTCTGTCTGCTGTGTACTTTCACCTTAGCAATTATAACATACTACCTCATATTTTTACCAAATTGTGTGCTACTTGACTACAAGAATAATTTTATTAATCTTAGCATTTCTAAGAACTAGAATGGTTCCAGATACATTGTGGGATTTGATAATTTTTTACATGAATAAACCTTAAGGCAATGGCATAATATTTCTTTTTTTTTTTTTTAGGATTTTATTTATTTGACAGGGAGAGAGACAGTGAGAGAGAGACCACAAGCAGGGGGAGTGGGAGAGGGAGAAGCAGGCTTCCCGCAGAGCAGGGAGCCCGATGTGGGGCTCGATCCCAGGACCCTGGGATCATGACCTGAGCTGAAGCCAGACGCTTAATGACTGAGCCACCCAGGTGCCCCTGGCATAATATTTCTGTTAGGATTTCTCATCTTCCCTCAAAGTGTAAAACCAAACAAATGTTTTGCAAACTATTTTGGTAATCATGGTAAGGATTGGTTCCCATACAGCTTTTTCCATGTCACCCAATTCTGAACATTGCAGATTGAACAGAAATTCCAGGGATCAGTATCATTTAAGGATGTGACTGTGGGCTTCACCCAGGAAGAGTGGCAGCGCCTGGACCCAGCCCAGAGGTCCTTGTATAGAGATGTGATGCTGGAGAACTACAGTAACCTTGTCTCACTGGGTAAGGTCTGTTTTTTTGTAATTCTAAACAGCATGTTTTAATTCTTTTAGTTATGAAGCATGTAGACACTGTAGAGTTTAATGATTTTTTATATTGGAACCAGGAATCAGTGTTGATCTCTTTTGGGCACCAGGAAGATATTTGTGTTTACTTCTCCAATGAAATGTTCAATAGCTCTTCATCAAATAGCTCTGGAAGCTTGCTTCTCTTTCAGAGACCCTGCAGGCTAGGCCTTCTGGTTTGAATCCTAAATTGTTTTGCTTTGACAGGGTATTGTGTTACCAAACCAGAGGTGATCTTCAGGCTAGAGCAAGGAGAGGAGCCATGGATATTGGAGGAAGAATTCCCAAGCCAGAGCTTCCCAGGTGAGTTAATGGGTACTGCACAGATGAACGTCAGGGGATTTATTATTTTCCCATGATTAATCCAGAGGTTGACAACTTTAAGATGTTTTTTTCAAGAATATCTCTTTAGAAGTCTTAATCCTTGGAAGTGACTGGGAATACTGGTTTTTGAACCAAATCTCCAGATACCACTCTTACAAGAAATGTTCTTTTTGATTCACTTTGTATTTACCATTCTTAATCTGTCAACAGACCAGTCTTTGCCTGCCTCATCTTTACTGTTGTTTTTCTTCATTCCTTTGTTTCTCAAAGCAGTTTTCAGTTGCCTACCTTACCTCCATTGCTCTGCATTCTTGCCATCATCAGGCATTCTTTCATATGCTCATTTTTTTACTCAAATAATTTTTGAGTAGTTGCTATTATCTAAATGCTATAGTAGTGAAAGAAATAAGTGTCGATGAGTTTATACAAGTAGCAGTAGTGACCAACAAATATATGAAAACATGGTCAACATTACTAAACATCAGGGAAATGCAAATCAAAACCATACATCACACCATTTAGAATGGCTAGCACCAAGAAGGCAAGAGATAACAAGTGTTGGCAAGGATGTGGAGAAAAAGGAGCCCTTGTGCACTGTTGGCAGTGATGTAAATTGGTTCACCTACTATGGAAAACAGTATAGAGATTCCTCAAAAAGTAAAATATAGAATTACCCTATGATCCAGCAGTTCCACTTGGGAAGACACCCAAAGGAAATGAAAACAGGTTATCAAAGAGAGAATATGCACGCTGATGTTTATCACAGCATGATTCACAATAACCAGATATGGAAACAACCTAACTGCCCGTCAGTGGATAAATAATTAAAATAGATATGTGTAAATAATAGACTATTATTCAGCCATGAGAGAGGAGGACATTCTGCCACTTGCGAAATGGATGAACCTTGAGTGCATTATGCTAAGTGAAATAAGTCTGACAGAGAAAGGCAAATACCATGTGGTGTCACTTGTATCTGGAATCTAGAAAAGCCAAACTTGTTATAAACACGAGTAATGTGGTCACCAGGGGGTAGGGGATGTGGGAAAAGAGAGATGTTTAAGGGTAAAAAGTGTAATGAGTAGTACATAAGCCCTAGAGATCTAATATAGCATATAGTGAATATAGACAGTATTGTATTAGAATAATCAAGCTTGCTGAGGCACTAGAACTTGATGATTCCAATCACTAATAAGAAATGGTAACTATGTAACATAATAGCGGTGCTAATTATTGGTACAATGGCAATTACATGGCATATAAGTGTATCAAATTAACAGGTTGTACACTGTAAATTTATACGGTTATATGTCAAAGATAAATTAAAAAGGTAGCACTAAAATCAGATACTTACGTGTATTAAAGCTCTGTAGTGGTAAAAATTATCCTAGCAATGAGAGCAGAGTTAAATGGTGCTACAAGAAGAATAGTTGGGAAACCTTAAAGAGATCACCATTAGAGCAGAATTTGAATGAAATGATTGTGTGAGCTGTGAGGGTCCTGCCTCTTCTCAGCGGGGGTAATAGCAACTGCTAAGCCAATGAGTAGGAATGTGCTTGGTGCTTCTTGGGAAATAGCAAAAAAAAAGTCACAGTGGCCAAAGGGGAATGATTGATGGTAAGTGGGGGCAGGAAATGATGTCAGGCAGCTATGGTCCAAAAGATGAATATCATAAATCTTACTAAAGATTTTATTTTAATTCTTACTAGTGTAATTTGGTAAACAAGCAACGTCTGATTCATGTTTATAAGATCTTTCTCACCTCTATAGAGAAAATACTGGAAAGAACATAAGTACTTAGAGAGTTCGCTAGTAGTTTTCCTGAAGGGCAATTATGGTCATTTAGTCAAAATTGGGGAGACATGGAGGTAATGAGAAGAGGCTGGATTCTCTCTGTATTTGGAATAACTAAAGAACTAACATCTGTATTGGGGCTCCTGGGTGGCTTAGTTGGTTAAGCGTCTGCCTTTGGCTCAAGTCATGATCCAGGGTCCTGGGATTGAGCCCTGCATTGGGCTTCCTGCTCAATGGGGAGTCTGCTTCTCGCCCTTCCTCTCCCTCTGCCCCTCTCCCCCTGCTCATGTTCTCTCTGTTTCTGTCTCAAATAAATAAATAAAATCTTTAAAAAAAAATAAAACTAATCATCAGTATCATCAGGGTAACAAAAAGGGAAGAGATGATGGCACTTGAAGTATTTAAAGGAATAATGATTGAAAACTTCCCAAATTTGTCAAAAGACATAAGAATACTCATTGAAGAATCTGAGTGAACTCTTAAGTGAGATGAATCCAAAGAGATCCATACTAATGGCATATCGTGATTAAATTTCTGAAAACGAGAAAAAATTTTGAAAGTAGAGAGAAACAACTCATTTCCTTTGGAAATGATAGTGTATTTGTCATCTGAAACCATGAAGGCTAGAAGGAAATAATACATTTTTTTCCAAGTACTGAAAGAAAAGAACTTTCAAACAAAACTTGTTTAGCTTGTGAAAATATATTCATGAAAGAAGGACAACTGAAGATACCATACAAAGGAAAACAAAGAAAATGTTGTTAGTAAACTTATCTTTTAAAAACGCCTAGAGGAGTTTCTTTAAATAGAAACTAAATAACATAAGAAAGCTTGGAACTTCAAAAAGAAAGAACATTGGAAGTAGCAAAAAATAAGGATAAATATAATAATGGAGTTTCCTTCTCAGGAGTTTCTGAAATCATATTTGATTATTGAAGCAAAATTTAGAATATCATATGATTTGATGCTCTACATGTGGAGGAAATGATATATTTACAAGATAGAATACAGGGATTTAATTGAAATTAAAGTGTTACATTTCCATTGAAGTCAGTGGTAAAATGTTGATCTAGGAAGATTGTAATAAATTATATATGTGCATTTTACCTAGAAATGGACTCGAATACCTAAAGAACCACTAAAAAACTATACAAGGTGGTACACTTAGAAATACTGTAAGTAAATGAAGGTGGAATCTTTAAAAAGATGTTCAAGTAATCAGTAAGAAAATAAATTAGGAACAGATGAATGAGAAACTGAGAAAACAACAGAAAAATAAAACAGCAGACTTAAACCTTGACATAGTAATATCTACTGTAAATGTAAATGATCTAAACACACCAATTCAGGTATAGACTGGCAGCCTGGATAAAACAAAAAACATGAGGCAGAAATATGTTATCTACAAAGAAATTCACTTCAAATGCAACATAGTGAGGTTGATGGGTGACAGAAAAAGATACACTATGCAAACATTAATGAAAACAAAAACAAGACTGACTCCATTAATATCAGATAAAGTAGTCTTGAGAGCAAAGGAAATTATTAGAGAAAAAGCGGTATTCCAACGAAAAAGACTGATCCAAAATGTGACCCCCACCAAACAACAGAAAGAACCTCATAGTACACAAATCAAAACTGATTGAGCTGAAAGGAGAAATAAACAAATTTTCAGTTATATTTGGGGAATTCAGCACCTTACTCTCAGCAATTGGTAGAACTTCTAGATAGCAGATATAAATTAACAGATATAGAAGAAATGAACAGCACCATCAACCAGCAGAATTGAATGAACATTTGTAGAACACTACCTAAAAACAAGGTATGCATTCTTCTCAAATGCCTATGGAACATTCAGTAAGATACAACATGTCATGGGCCATAAACAAACCTTAGTAAATTTAACAGAACTGAAACCGTGCTATGTTCTCTGAGCACAAGGAAATCAAACTGTGAATCAGTAATAGAAAGTCGGTAGAAAAATATCCAAACCCTTTGGAATTAAGACACATGTAAGTAAAGCGTGAATCAAAGAAGGCTGAAAGGAAATTTTAAAAATACATAGAATTGAATTAAACAGTATATCAATGTATGTGGGAAGCAGCCAAAGCAGTGGTATTAGGATAAGATGAAAGGTCTCAAATCCATAATTAATTTTCTACCTTTAGAGACTGCAAAAGGGCAAAGTAAATCCACAGCAAATAGGAGGAAGAAAATAAAGCAGGTATCAATGAGTTGAAAATAGGAAAACAATAGAGAAACCTACTGAAACACAAAGCCAGTTCTTAGGGAAAAAAATCAGTAAAATTTATTAACCTAGCAATCTTCAATACACACACACACAACAAACCACCAATATCAGGAAAGAAATGGGGGATATCACTTTGGCATTCATTAACAGGAGGATAATTTAAATGTTATGCTCTTAATTTGATGGTTGAGAAGAGATGGATCAACTCTTTAGAAATTCCAAGCTACCAAAACTCAAGATGACATGGATAATTTGAAGGTTCTGTGGATTTTCATAGATGACATAGATAATTTGAATTTAATTTAAAATAAAGAGATAAAATCTCTTACGGATGTTTTCACCATAGAAGACTACCAAACATGTAAACATTTAAGGAGGAATTAATAATGATCTTACACAATGTCCTCCAGAAAAATAGAAAGCATGGAACACTTCCTAACAGGTTTTTTTGTTATCCTGATACCAAAACCGTACAATGACAGTACAGGAAACAATAGTAAATCTATAGACCTATATCTCCCATAAATTTGCTAGCAAAATTCCTTAACAAAATATTAGCAAATAGAAACCAGCCATGTATAAAAAGAACCATGACCAAGTGGGATACATACCAGGTATGCGAGAGTGGTTCAGCATTAAAAAACCAATCAGTGTAATCCACTATAGGCTAACAAAGATTCTATTATACATAGAATTGCTTTATTTTTCTTTCAGATTGTTTATTGTAGGTATGTAGAAACACACCTGATTTTGGGGTGGTTGTATTATAGCCTGCAACTTAACTGAATTCATACATTACCTATAGTAGCTTTCTTGTAGATTCCTTAGGATGATTAGTAGTTAGAGGGAACCTTCCTTACTCTTTTTTTAATCTCAAAGGTAGATGGTGACTTTATAAGAAAGAAAAACTACAGACAGATGTTTCTTATGAATA